TGTCCTTTTTCAAGTCTCTGCCCAGCAAACGGATCTATAGTCCACAATATGTTAGAAATTTCAACGATTTTTTACTTCATCACTTACTTACTTACTTATTTACTCATGGAGCTGAGCCCTTCTGGAGGAGCCATCAATTCTGCAGCTACTCAAGAATTTCCCAGCATTTTATGGAACCCGAAGATTGATTACCGTGTTCACAAGATCCCTCCACTGGTCCTTATCCAGAGCCAGATCAATCCAATCCGTACCGTCCCATTCTATCTCCCTAAGATTCATTTTAATATTGTCCACCAACCTACGCCTTGGTCTTCCCAATGGTCTCTTTCCTTCTGGCTTCCCCACCAATATCCTACACGCATTCCTCATCTCCCCCATTCGTGCTACATGACCTGCCCACCTCATCCTCCTTGACGTGTTCATTCTAATTATACTTGGAGAAGAGTACAAGTTAAGAAGCTCCTCATTATGCAGTTTTCTCCTAACTCCTGTCACTTCATCTCTCTTCTTTCCAAATATTCTCCTCAGCGCCCTGTTCTCAAACACCCTCAGTCTGTGTACCTTCCTTAATGTCAGAGATTAAGTTTCACACCCATACAGAACCACAGGCAAAATTATAATTTTGTATATTCTAATTTTTATGTTTTTGGACAGCAGACGACTAGACAAAAGGTTCTGGACTGAATTGTAGCAAGCATTACCCGAGTTCAATCTCCTCTCCTGAATCAGGTTTCGATCTGTTATCGTTGTTCCCAAATATCTGAACTGTGCCACATTTTCAAAACATCTGTTTCCTGTCTTTATGTCATGATTTTGCTCTGCATTTTGGTGATGAAACAGCAACATATACTTAGTTTTCTCAGTGTTTACTTCTAGACCAACCTCTTTACTTGCGTCAATTAAAGTTTGTGTGTTTTTCTTTAAGGTATCTATATTATCACCCAGTAGATTAACATCATCGACACAGACCAACAGCTGACGTGTCCCGTTTAGTTTCAGTCCCACCTGGTTTCCCTGGACCTTCCTAATGGCATATTATAAAGCAAAGTTGAAAAGGAGTGGCGATAAAGCATCTCCTTGTTTCAGACCTTTCTGAATAGAATATTTATCAGACAAATGTTTGCCTATACGGACTTTACTATGTTTCCTTTAAACACATTTTAATCAACATAACAAGTTTCATGGGTACCGCAAACTGTATCAGAATAGTTTACAATACTTCTCTCTTAATTGAATCATAGGCTTTCTTGAAGTCTATGAATAGCTACTGTACTGTGTCATTGCACTCCCATTTTTTCTCCAATACTTGACGAATGCAAGAGATCTGATCCATAGTTGATCTGTTATGTCGAAACCCACACTGTTGAACCCCAATAATTTCATCTATATATGAATTTAACCTTAGGAGAAGAAGAAACGTATTAAAGATAAGCAGCGACACACACAGAGAGCGCCTACACTGAACAACACATGAACAACGATAAAAACAAGAAGTGGCCGCTGCAGCACCGTAGATATAGGGCATGTACCCTGAAAAAATTTTAACAAAAAATTTGAAAAAGAAAGAACAGAGATCTTATAGACATTTTAACTTGAATTAAGTTTTAAAAAGTGCTAATTTAAAAATCAAATCGACGCGTGTAGATTAACAAAGATTTTATACAATTAGAAAGACTGGTAATTTTAAATTTTAAAAAGCAGTGTAACAGCTACGTGAGTGATACACACCTGATGATGGCCATTTAGGGCCGAAACATGTAGTGTGGAGGAGGAAAAGAAGTAAAAACTACAATAAAATTTGTTGCACTTAAGACGGTATTTATCCATATATATTGTGTGAGTGTAACAGGATGCTGAAATATAATATTAGGAGAAGAATATTGGATAATATTTTGTATGAAGTTGATAGCAGTGATATCCCCCGATAATTACTACAGTCAGCTTTATTATTTTTCTTGTGAACTGGTACAATAATAGACTCCTTCCACTGAACCTATGTACATTCAATAACTGAGGGAAGTAGTTCCTCCACTTATTCAAAGGTTGTGGGAATCTGCAGGCAGATCACCATTCTCATCCTTCACTAAGTAACTGCTAGGTTGGTAACCCCTCTTAAAGTCATTTATTCCTCTATATAAGTCTCTAATGTTCTTGTTCTTACTGTTCATTGTAAGGTCATCAATTTTGTCTTTCAGATATTCCCTCTTTTTGTTCCTGAAATGCCTGCGGGTTTCACGTCTTATATTGTTCAGGTTATCCCAATTTAACTCACATGGATCCTGTAACCATTGCAATTTGGCCTGCTTTCTTGGATCTAATAATTTTGAGCATCCTTCATCGAACCATGGCTTATGCTTCTTCGGCTCATAATAACCTAGACTCTCTTTGGCAGACATTTTTATATTCTCTCTAACAGCTTCCCAAGCTTTATTAACATCCACCTCAGTTTCTAAGCTTTCCAAAGCCGCGAACCTATTTGAGATTTCAACACGATACTGCTCTTTACACTCTACTTCATTTAATTTCTTGAGATTGAACCTCTCCATATGAACTCTATGTGTTGTTTGTTTGCTCACTGCCAGTCTTTCCCTAATCTTTAACACCACCAGGTGTTGGTCAGTATCACAATCTGCTGCCCTGAATGATCGGACATCAAGTATACTTGGGTGCCGTCTCCTATCTATCAAAATATGGTCTATTTGAGTGTGTATCTTCCCATCAGGAGATGTCCAAGTGCATTTATGGATGTTACGATGTGGGAACATTGTACTTTTGACTGTAAGATTTTTTTATGTGGCAAAGTTTACTATTCTAACTCCATTATCATTACTAATTTCATGCAAACACTCATTCCCAATTGTTGGTTTGAAAATGTCTTCCCTCCCTACTTTGGCATTGAAATCTCCTGTCAATATTTCATAGGGTACTTTGGGAATTTATCAAATACATGTTCTTGTTCTTCATAGAACATGACCTTTATGTCATCAGTTTTATCTCCTGTTGGGTGAACAGTCATAACAATGATATCACACCAGCGACGTTTTAGTATTATATATGATATCCTATCACTAACGAACTCTAACCTCTTAACTGCTGATATGATTCTCTTATGTACGAAAAGCCTGTACCTAATTCATGATTTTCTTTCTCCTTTTCATAGAACAATGTATAGTCTCCTGCTGGTGCGATGCCACCTCCGTCCCATCTGACCTCCTGTACTCCCGCTAAATCTAACTTATATTCTAAGATTTCTTCTGCCACTGCCCTGACCAAATCTGCCATATACAAACTTCGTACATTAAAAGTGCCAAATCTCATATCCATTTTCATTAGCTTAGGTCGTTTATCCAAGGAATGCGTCCAGGTCCGAGGCTTTGTGTTCATTTTCGTAACATAATGATTTTTTACGGTGAGGAGTTGTTAGCCCCACGCCCAACCCGCAAGCTTGAGGACCACATATTGCCGGCTGTGCGCTACTGCTTATTCAATATATTCGCAGCTTCCCACCAAAACTGGAGGGTGTCTCCTCCATCCGCAACCTGAGGACGCGCCATGCCGTGGTGACAAGGAGGCCTCACCGAAAAATCGCCGAAATTGTCAAGGCACGCCATAAATTTTTAAGGAGAGATTTTATCATTAAAAAACCGAGAAATAAGATCGTGTTTAAAGTTCCATAGCTAAATTTCTAATAATTGTATTGTTCTTTAAAAAATTTGATTGTGGATTTCGACGATTTTTTTATTCTTCAATATTTTCTCTCTTCTTTTCGACCTTCCCTCAAACTCCCTGGACACATCTGCGCACCCTTCGCGGCATGCCAGTTGAAAATCGCTTGTTTGGTTGGAAGGAAGCGGTCATGTCCTAATCGAAGTACTATCCCAGCATTCTCCTGGAGGGACCTTGCAGACCCAGCCAATTTTCGAACGAATTTTCTACCGAATACAATTGACACTGTTTTTTATTGCTAGTGAGGTGGGTCTAAGTCCCTTCTACTGCGGCCACTTCTGACCTATTGTACCAGCCGCAGATGATAGGTGAGGGTGATTGTGGAGCAATTGGTGGAATGAAGATTGGCAGGCGAAACCGAAGTACTCGGAGAAAACCTGCCCCAGCGCCACTTTGTCCACCACAAATCCCACTTGACCAGACCCGGGATGGAACCTGGGCCGCTGCGGTGGGAAGCCAGCGACTAACCGCGTGAGCTATGGCGCGGCCTATCCCAATTGATATATTTCATGGCTTGTCTCGGTCTCACCAGACATATGCCAGTATCAATAGGAGTTAGGTTACCTTCCTGTCACTCCACACTGAGCATTTTCCGACATGGAGCTCACACAAAGCACCGCGTTCAACAGTTCTTATTTTCTTTTCAAAACAAGCAAACTCTAAAGAAATCACATCTTAGTCACTCATTTCTCACAGTTACATCCTTAAAATTTTCACATAGGTGAAGTTGCCTGGCGAGGTCTACTGGATTTATGCAGGTACCCACTTTCCGGAGGAATATACCGCCTCCATACCCAGGCTAGTACTGGATCTAAAGTCAGTAACATATACATATATATACTGTTCTAGTTCTTACTACAGGGTGAAGTGCCGAACTGCGTAATGAGGAGCTTCATAACTTGTACTCTTCTCCGAGTGTAATTAGAATGATCAAGTCAAGGAGAATTAGATGAGCATGGCATGTAGCCGCATGGGGATAAGAATACATATAGGATTTTAGTGGAAAAGCCAGACGGAAAGAGACAAACAGAAAGACCTATGTGTAGGTGGGAGGATAATATTAAAGTGGGTCTTTGATACGATGGAGTGGTATTTACTTGACTGATCTAGCTCAGAGGCCAGTGGATGACTCTTATGAGCATGGTAATGAACCTTAGGTTTCCATAAAATGTTGGGAAATTCTTGAATGGCTGAGCGACTGGCGGTTCCTCAGAAAGGGCTCAGCTCCGTGGAGTTAGGGTGAAGCATTGATTGGTGACTGTTGGAGAACTCACCATCTCTGGACATGCCCAGGCGCAGACATTTCTGGAGGCGGCAGTACTGACATCGGTTCCGGTTTACTCTGTCTACAACGCAGTTCTTGTTGCGAGGACACTGGTAGTTCACCACAGAGCTCTGAGATCGCCTGAAGAAGCCCTTGCAGCCTTCGCACGTGATCACTCCATAGTGGACGCCACTGCTTTTATCCCCACACACTTTACACGGTATGATCTCGATTTGCGCTGAAACACAGACAGAGGACAACCATTCAGGCGCGTGTACAAATATACACTTGCAAAACCATACATATAGACTTAAAACAGTTGGGGCATACGATGAGGTACCCAAAAGAAACCGAACTAACTTTTTTGTGGGCAGAGCTTTTGTAGTACCGCGTTTTGCCGCTATGAGCGCATAGAGCTAACATTCCTGAGTCGATAAGCCGACTACCGTTGCTTCAGAAGGTAAGGACTAGTTTCGGCAGAGTTCATAGTGACAACTGTTTGGTGTGATCGTCGTTTTTGCAATGGCTGATTTTCGTGAACAGCGTGCGGCGGTGAAATCCTGCTTTTTGCTCGGGAAAAGTGGAACAGAAACTCTTGAAATGTTAAAAACGGCGTACAAGGACGATGCTATTGGGAAAACTCAAGTGTTTGAGTGGTTTTCCCGTTTCAAAAATGGTGAAATGTCAATTGATGACAAACCTCGTTCTGGTCGTCCTTCCACGGCCCGAACACATGAAAATTTTGAAAAAATTCGTGAAATCATCAAGGAAGATCGACGGACCATTGAAGAAATTGTGGAGCTGTTGGGAGTGACTTCGAGCTCAGCGGCCAGATTTGTGGGAGTCGGGTGACTGGTTTTTCCATCATGACAATGCCCCTGCTCACACAGCCCTGTCTGTACGACAATTCTTGACCAAAAATATTATGACTCCTGTTCCTCACCCTCCATACTCACCCGACCTTGCCCCGTGCGACTTTTTTTTTGTTTCCTCGAATGAAAAGAGATATGAAAGGAAAAAACGACGGAGGCGCTGTCAAGCATCTCAAAAGATGAATTTAGACAATGTTTTGAAAAATGGAATAAAAGACTAGACAAGTGTATTAGTGTAAGTGGAGAGTAATTTGAAGGGGATTGAAGGTTAGTGCTTAAAATTTGAATAAATAAGTTTAAAAAAATAAGTTCGGTTTCTTTTGGGTACCCCCTCGTATATATGGGGGAGCCAGGATAGCAATAGGCTACGAAGTGGACCGCCGGGGTTCGATTTCCGTCTAGGGCAAGAAGTCTTTCTCTTCACCACAGCATTCAGACCGACCCTAGGGCCCAATCTGGCTCCTACGCAATGGGTATCGTGGGGATACTTCACCCGAGACAAAGCGGCCTGGACGTAAAGCTGACCATTCACCTCCACTTAGTGCCTAGGTTGAGAATAGTGGAGCTATACCTCTGCTCCCCCATATATCTTCATCGCATGGATAATTTTACCGTTTTAGGAGGGTATATGGGAGCTGAGGTTCTTACGGCGGAAGTTATCAAATGTATTATTCTCTAGGAAGTGGAACCGTGTAATCTGGTAGAGATTTGCCGACGTTTTGAGGAACGTACTGCCTCCATCTTCACGATTCCAAAACAACTCAAATGTCTATATATAAAAACTTCGGTTGTTTACTATATACTAAACTGATACAATATCAATATAATTATAAGAGAGTGGAAGAAGGAAATTTTCTCCAAATATACACGAATATTATATCTATTATGTAATGGATTTCAAAAATGGTGGAGCTGTACCTCAACTCTCCCATGTATCTTCGTGGAATAGTTGTTAGTTAGTCAGCCACACAGTCGAAACTTTAAGTTTATACCTGGTAGATTTCCGAGTTTCTGGACTTTGTGTGTTGTCCAACGTCCGGTATTTTAAGGAACAAAAACTAGGTAAAATTCATATTTAATTTAATGTGTCCATCTTTTGTATGGATTGTAAACATGAATAGGTCTGTCTTCTGGGATATAACACTGTGTAGCCCGTTGAAATTCAGCCAGCTTGTCATAAGAATATATCACTTCCATCTTCCGGGTCGAATAAGCCAAGGAAAAAAAACCGGAGTGAAATAAATTGCAAGCAAGGCCCTGAAGATAGATGTGGCATGTTCCTCCGAAACCTGAATTGTCTTGCAAAGGCCTACACGGCGTTATATCCCAGAAGATAGGATTCTTCATAATCACCGCTGTGAGAAACTAAAATCTTACACGAGAACATGTTTGGGAACTATGTATCAGGACACATTAAGGGTGATAATTGCGTAACCATTATATAGCCTCGAGTTCTATGAATAATGAAGCAAAGTGAAAGTAAAATTCGTAACAAACAAGGACCACATGCACCTGCAGAACAAGAAACACGTTCAACATTCGCCCAGCTCGGGAGCAAAAGTCAAGACAGTGTTACGTACAATCTTGATGCTGCGCCTTTGGCTCTTGGATGAAATGCACGACACAACAAACGAGGAGGTAAACACCAAGAAGTTCTGTTCGATCGGTCGCGTAAACTTCTGCTGGTCCTCGACAGCAAAGTCATTCTTAATTCCGAGTTCTGCGTGACTCATGACTATATTTTACCGTCTCACGGCTCTCGGATTCGCTGAAATCCAGAAGTTGTAGGAAAATAAATTATGCGATTAATTCTTCCCAGAAATAATCACATATTTTCGTTTAATACGTCACGTACCACGAACAAACGACGCGTCAAACAATTTTCTGTTACGTATGTATTCGTTGATGAGGGAAGGTAAACACCTAGTCGTTGCCTAGCAACGGTAGTGGGATACACATACAGAAACACAGAGAAAGTGGGTTAATAACAGATGAACAGTCGAAAATGCAAATGCTCACGAAAAGACGAAGCCCGGCGCGCAAAATAATTAAGAGACTTTAGCTTGGCGGCGGTCAAGCGTACGACCGTTCAAGCAACTAGAAAGCCGTTGTAACATAAGCTAAATGAGTTAGGACATGATCTGCTGTGTTAAGCCTAGACTGACAGAGGCCTTGTATATAATTATAGTTACATGTGAAACTTAAAATAGTAGGTACCCACATGGAACCGAACTCTTGACTACTGGCCGAGTAGAATGCAGACATGTACTACTGACTATGACTGCGGTATATGACACACACGTCTTCACGTCAAAGAGGGCTCTCCACGTCGACAAAACAAATCTGGTCTTGGGCTACACCTGAGGCTTCACACCAACACCGACCGTCGGGCGTAACGTGATTTTCACTTCCTCTGACTTCGCTATTCCGGCTTTAAGGAGCTAGGAAGTGTTAAAAGTCACAGACAGCAAGGTAATCTCATAAACCTCATTTTATTTTTTTTATACAAGTACAAGGTAAAGCTATCCATGTAAGAGGCCGTGGATGCCCATATGGCTGTGAGACGTCGAGGCTCCCACATTTTCTTGACAATCGGCTCGCAGATGGCGGTGAGGTTGTCAGCCTTACGCGTCTGCCGGCCGCCCTTTAGCCCCAGGAAGATTCCTCATACTCATTTCTGTTAGAGACTGAGTAGACCCTAGAGACATAGTGCGGTTTCAAGGAATAGATCAACTGAAATATCTAATGATATCGGGAATCGAATCTGCAACCTTCCGGCTTGTAGCATAGTGTCTCAACCAACTAGGCCAATAAAAAAACAGAGAAAAACTAAGAGATTATCTCCTGGGATATGACGTCATGTCGTCCGGATTACACTGCATCACATCCCAGAAGACACAGCACTTCATAACCACTGCAGTTACAGCGGAGGTGACTCTGAGATGTGACGTCATGTAGGTCGGAAAAATTCACAGGTACTTATTAAATCCATATTCCTTGGCTTTCTTCTCGACCCTGAAGATGCAGGTAGTACGTTCCTCCAAAGCGTTTGTAAATTTCTACCGAACTACACGGCGTCACATCCCAGAATATAATCTCTAGGTGTTCTCTGGACGGAATAACCTCAGGGTTATTAGATCTGTTGTTCGGAATGGAACATCATCAGGACCATGACTGAATATGAAGAGCATTGTCTTCTATAAACTGAACACAATTTGTCACTATAGGATTCTGACGATGGTGTATGACACACAGAGATACTGGGTTTTCGGACTTTACCCACCGTCCTGGTTTTTAAGATTGAGGCTAGCTCTTTCTAAGGGACCCAACAGAATAGGTGTTTTACCTCACCTGAAGACGGAAACAGTTCCAATTTCCGAAACGTCGTGTTTTTTCTTAGTTATCTTAAAAATCAGGACGATGGATAAAGTCCGAAAACCCAATAACTCTGTGTGAACACAAGTTCATCGATGTTTGGGTGGAACACACTTCCAGCATCTTCAGCAACGAAGGGACACTTTTACAGGGCCTTCACTCTGCATGCCACCTGATTCTGGTGGTCTACTTGCCTAGCCCACTCGTCGAAACTAAATACGGTGACAGTATGTTACTCCGAAGAACTTCCCAGCATTTTATGGAACCCGAAAGTTCATCGCCGTGTTCACAAGAGCCCTCCATTGTTCCCTATCCTTAGATAGAGGAATCTAATCCATACCATCCCATACTATCTCTCTAAAATCTATTTTAATATTGTCCTTGCTCCTCCCAGTGGTCTCGTTCCTTCTGGCTTTCCCACCAATATCCTATACGCATTTCTCTTCTACCTCATTCGTGCTACATACCCTGCCAATCTCATCCTCCTTTATTTTATCTTTCTAAGTATACATGGCGAGATTACAAGTAATGAAGCCCCTCATTAATATTACTCCGAAACGTCGGGTAAATTCTATTAAGTTATACTGTTTTACATTCCAGACGATAGCATTCTTCATCAAGGGAAATTATGTGCCCGTGTTGTTCAAATCTCAAAGTTTAAACCTGTTTACATATAACATACAAAGAGACGTCAGTTATGCTGGTAGAACTCGTCCAGACTCCATGTTTATATCTCCCGTAAAGTTATTTGGGGAAATATGAAACTAAATGAATGTGCAAATCCCTTATTGGTGCACTCAGTTACTCATTCGCATCACAAGGCCCACTCCTTCTTTAGAAACTAATAAAGATTAGTCAAGAAATTCCTCTCCTTTTATGGACCAAAGTTGTTCACTGCTGTTCTCAAAAGAGAAGGCCACTATCCTTATCCTTGTCCATACTAATCCACATCACACCCTCCAGTCCTATGGAGGGCGATCTTGCTTCGTAT